CCTGGACTCGCCGGAAGTGCCTCGGCGCTGACCGGTCTTCCGCGTCAGTCCGTGATCAGCGCGGCGCTGACCTTGGCCGAAAGCGGCGTGGAAGAACAGCTGGGAGCCCTGCCTCTGTGGGAGGGAGCTCTTGGAGGATGCAAATCAGATTCGATGGTGGGGGGTTGAGGTATGTTGCGGTGTGAAAACAACAAAGAACTGGGTTTAGGGTGTCATGGGGGTTGAGGTCATTTTTTTCGACCCCATCCACTGTCATCACCAATCTTATCATCTTCATACCGGATTCTGCTGGTCGTTGTGGAGACTAGGATGGCCCAAGAAATTGTTTGGTGCCATATAGATCCATGTAGTATATATACAATAAAGTAACCTTTGATTCATACTCAACTCTGCAAAACAGGTCTCACCGTTCTGGAGATGATTTGAGATCTTTGGAGACAGGGTTTTGATCGTCTCGAAACAACCATGTCTCGGTGCAGAAACACGTTGGAAGGTGCAGCTATTCTGACTGTTTCAACTTGGAGGCAAATGTGGGACAAATTGCAGCAAGAATCGATTCCTTACTGCACATCCTGCATCTACCCATATCTATACCCTCATTACTTACTGAGCAGTCGCGACGTGCGGTGCTTGCTCACGCCTTCACGGTCGGTCGACCCCACCACCGGTTGCCTCATACGATGCAGCGGTGTGTTTTTCAGCATGTTAAACCATCCAACACCACACGGTATGCAATTATTGCAGCCTTTGCAAAGAAACACATATTACTTAAACAATCCTTAACAGTCACTAGTGTATCAGGAGACCTACTGACTTAGTCGCTTTGGAATAGATTCATAGATAGAACTGATAAAACTTGGTGAATACAACCAGAGGGGCCCCTCCAAGTCAATGGCCTCGTTGTGAATCTAAACCGTTAACGACAAGCTCGCTCGTTGTACTTGGTGTCCACTTTTTTGGCTTGTCCTCCATTGGTGTTTTCTTTTGTTTTTCACGTTTGCTGGGTCAATGTTGATGGCAGTGTTGATGGCTTTGGGGTTTTCATTTGACAACCTTTTCATATGACAAATTCAACATGCCAATAACTCCAGATGGATCACCCGATGACAGTGTGAATAAGCTTGATAATCCCACAAACGATCCAATCACATGTTTGGGTCAATCAGGTATGACACCCCCACTCTCCCCCACCTCGGACCCTCGTGCCAATATCTACGTGGGGTGCTATCTTGCATCATTACGTTGATCCTGTTGCCAAAATTGTAACCATTTACCTTAGCTATACTATACCTGTACCTGAGTTACAACCAAGGTTAAATTAAATGCATGTGACAATACATATGACATCGTGTGACTGTGTATATGTATGTTTTTCTAGCTTGTCCCGAACAGACCGAGGTTCTGGCGGGAAGTCATGAACGGTTGCCGGGCGCCCCGAGAGAGGAGTCCAGTCTCGTTGACCGCGCAGTAAGATAAGTACAACTTAGTTTTTTTTAATGTTTCACCCTAAGAATCCGGGCCCTCAAACACATATGGGCCCGGAACCCTGCCATGGAGGGTCCCCCTGCCATGGAGAACCCAAGGATTGTTAGGGCAAGAGATTACAAATTGACATAGTTCGATCGAAGGCGCCGGCCAACTTTCTTAACATGAAAAAACCCTAGGGATCCAGTCGTACCGAACCTCAGGACCCTCCAAACCCACCTACATAGCAGTGTCGAACACATCACCCTACCTGAGAAGGTACTTGGATCCTTAGGGTTTGTATTGACCCCAAGGTGTTGAATCATATTGTTGAATCATTGTACGGATGTACCACAGAAACAGATCCTTCCTTGGTCCGACACAGTTTGTGGCAGGAAAATTGGGAGATCGGGGTGCAAGCCGGATTGTGCACTCTGGACAAACATTGGGTTGTTCCGATGCGTCATGGGTTTTTCAGGAACGATCAGCCTCATAAGTGGCATAAAACCCATGCATGCGCACATGTGGTTGGAAGACCTCCTGATCACTCCTGAACCCAAGTTTGGTTTAGCTATGTTTAGCTTTTCTCGTCCATGTCACTTCACTCTTTTTCGCTTGAGACGAAATCGCGTTGGTTGAATTCAGGCAACGAACTGATCCTGGCGGCCAACCAACGGGGCATCTCAAGCGCGCTCGCTGGGGCCGCCGATCTCGGGGCGGTGGTGATGAGGCGTTCTGCCCACCTTCCGATGCGGCCAATTCGCGGAGTTGGATCAGATTTGAAATTTGGCATGATCTCAACATTGTGTGTGGGAGATGTGTGATGGGATCTTTTTTTTGAGGAACACACATATCTTACATAAAGAAGTGCCCTTCCGGTGTACGGAATCTGTTTTGGGTGAGTGAACTGTTGATCTCGTTTCCGAGTTGCATCAATTGAAGTTTCGTGGAGTTTGTGTTGTTTCAAAAGCAAGTGCTCCTATGGGCCTACTCTCCCAAAAGTCCATCCTCCGGTTTCTCCAGAATTGGGCGAAAAGGCCACCTTGATCTGCAAATGTTGCCTTTATCCATGATTATCCTCAACAAAGCAAGCCCACAGGTCAAGATCCTGAACTCATCCATGATATTTACTCTCCTTCAACAGATTGGCCTTGATGACATCTGATTGGCATCCATCCATCCGTCCATCCATCCATCCATCCATCCGTCCATCCTTGGCTCTTCAACCATCTGATCCGCCCAGACCTTCCATCAGATCCCTTGGGACCTACCTGTCCGAGGCTAAGACGCTTCAGTCCCTGAAGGCCTCCCTGTCCGTGAAACTGCCGGCTCCAGTTGGAGGCCTTAGCAGGTGAAGGGGGTTGCTGAAGGGAGGTGAAGGAAGGGGGGTGGTTGAATGAGGCCCAAAGCTTCGAGGGAATTTCTGAAGGGGAGGGGAGAAGGAGTTGCAGAAGAAATGGTGGAATTCCTGAAATTCCTGGCTGGTGGAGTGTTGCACCTGGTGGGGGCGCAACCAAAAGTTCTGTACGTAGGGCCCAGTCACGACCATGGATGTGGAACGTGATTGGTGTGTTTCGGGATCGAAGGAGTTCCTGCAGATTGAGCGCTGGAAATCTGCATGGAGTGCAGGAACACCTTGAGCCACCCAATGAGTTTTTTCCATTAAATATACACGAACATTCACCCAGCAAGACATAGGCAATGGTTTTGAGAGTACGTTCATATCACGTTCAGTCTCGGGTAACAGTTTTATGATGTTCTATGTTTATTGATGTTGAGCGTAGCAGCCAGTTCAGCTCTGCTGAGCCAGTTCAACATGCTCAGCCGCGGCGGCTAGGAATGACACAAACCTTCCATCAGTCACGATGTCATGTGTGTTCATGCACTGTCAACAACCCGGGACTGTCTGCGCAGTCAGTCGATGACCCTCGCGCTGAAGTGAGCATCCCAAGGAAACTCCGGATGTTGGATCCAACACCTACCCAGCAAAAATCGATCACCTTTGAACCTTTTTCAGGATAGTATTTTCCACTCAAAGCGAACCGGTGGTGTTGGTTCACCTGTTTCAAAGTACATGATCTCTACCTGGACCCTCCAACCACCGCCCGCACGTTCAAGTCCCCAAAGACACCGAAAAAAACCATCATTTCGGAGACCTGAGAGGGCAAACTTCCCCCCTGTTTTTGCTCCTTTCAAGGAACCACCTTGCTGAAACGAAGAGTTTACACATCACCGACCGGTTGGAAACCGGTCTCCAGTCTCCAGATATCATCGACATCGGCACGGGGGGAGTTTCAGTGTCTGTGTGCCCCCTCTTTGGAGACAGAACATTCAAGATCTACAGTAAGAAAAAATCATCCATAGGATTTTCTAGGGTGTTGTATATATCCCATCCCATTACTTGAACAATAGAAAAAAAGACATTCATATAAATATATATATATATATTATACTGTATCCCATTATTGTTACTGTGGATGATGATGGTGAGTAACAGGCTTGTTCAAATAATTGTTTACCGACTGTTACATGTAATGGGACACCCCCCAAAAGTATTGACACTGTGTTTCATGATTTCCGGGCTTTGGAACCTCGGAAGCCTTGGCCATTTGGCTGAACCAGCCACGCTTCTCGCCTTTTCGATGGCCACAGAGGGGTCCAAACCGTGTTCGCCCGACCAGTCCACCATGTCAACCAAGGTATTCATTGAGGCTGTGGTATTCATTGTGAGGTTTTGTTCTCTCAACTGTCAACCCTACTCATGTGGCTTGGGGCAAGTGAAAGGCGGTTGTGACCTACCAAAAGGATCCACAAGAAAACACCTTCTTGGAAGCTGAGAGGTGGTGCTGGTCGGTTTTTAATAAACAACATGGAACAACCCGGATTTGGGTTTAAATCGCATGGTTTGCTTTAAAAGCAACGATATAAGCGTGACGCATAAGCGTATATGGGTCTAGCAGGAGTGAAACCATCCAGTTTTCCTAAACATCTAAAAACCAAAGGATTATATAATGCAAGCGATTCTTGAGGAAGCTCCTCCCTGCCCCAGTCAAGGGAGCTTCCTTGAAGAAGCGTGACCTATCCTGCGTCCATATGAAGTGGCTAACTTAGGCGTTACTTAATTAAGAAGGCGCCTACTGTACTTAGTTAAGTAGTAGGGGACAGAGTCAAAAACAAAGAGAGAAAAATAACAACATTTTAAGTTGGTATTCATTATTGTATATAGTCTATAGGTAGGGGGCAAAGCTGAGTAGATTCGAAGTTTTCATGAGTCATGTGGTTGAAGACTGGTTTGAGCAACAGTGTGTTCATTAGCAAACTTCAGCGAGCAAAGGAAGCATCCAATGGGAAAGGGAACTCAGACCTCGCTAGCTTCAATCAATCCACAAACTGATCAGTCTCAACCTGCCACTGTTCATCATCAGCACTGGTGTTTCATCAGTTTGGGTGTTTCATCACCCCTCCCTTCTGCGTGGCTGTGCCGCAGAAGCTCCCACGAGCTCACGAGCTTGGTGCGTGGCTGTGCCGCTCGAGCCATGCAGCGGGGCACCGTTATCGTGGTACTGATGAGCGGGGAAGCTGCAGAGGTTCAAGTGAGCGACGAGAGACTTGGTCAAGTCTAGAGGTCTCGAGCGGAGGGTGAGACGGGGAGACGGGGAGACGGTAGGACCTTCATATCTAGATGATGTTTTGGTATGGCCTGGCCAACAAGTTTTAGCTCCAACAGAGTCATGGGAACAGTCAAGTGGATCCGTCAAAGACCGAAGACACATGGGAACCACTCGAGGGATCGACAACATCACCGAGTCAAAGCATGCTTTTTATATGGAATATCTTACATGACATATCCCGGGGCGGCCCTGGATATGGACGTTAAATAACTTCAACTGGTAAGTGCTGAGATCTAGGTTAACTGAAATTGATGTCCAAGGGCTCCAGGGTCTGGGATCAATAAGCAATTGATCCTGGGGGAGTTGAGGGGCGGATCGTGTACTAAGATAACCCGTCTATTCCATGAACGTTGGAAGACTGAGTCGGGGCATCTGTGATGTTTGCACACTTAGTACACCTGAAGTATTTTTCAGGCCACAACAGTTCAATTTAGAAATGGTTGAGGCTGTAACCCTTCCAAACACCAAGACAGGACCCCAGAACACAGAGAGGCACCACTCCAAGAGGCTAACCAGCTGTACATTCGTTACCCACCAATCTGGCCTGAGAAAATGCGGCCACAACAGATCATAGCCGTGGACTGATCAAAAGCCAAGGACCTTTTGCTATAAAAGGTCTATATCTTCACCCGCAAGATCCCGTGGGAAGGATCAAGATGACCAGGTGTGTCCCAGCAAATGGTTTGGTATCGAGTCTTCAAAGATTTGGATCAGCAACGTGCACACACATTCATCAGACCATGTGCGGCAACGACACTGATCGGCGACCCTTTTTGGAGTGACCCACCTGACCAGTGGCTACTGGGTTTCGCTTGTGAGATGAGAGTCTCCCCAAATGTCCACGTAAGTCCATCCGCTGGCGAGGGATTTTCAGGGAATGTCACCGTCGACGATTTGGTGATCCCGTTGGCCGTCGGCTTCTCGGTGAAGAGAAACTGCACTGTGCAAGAACCGAGGATGACCGCCTTGCAGTTGAGGCGAATGTTGATGGCGAGTGGGGTAGTGGAGGTCAGGAAACGTGTATTAAACATGTGGTTTCTTTTTTCAACAGCAGAACAAACATCCATTGCTTACCTAGTCATTGACAAGCTGAAGTAGCAACCAAACATGAGTGACAGTACTTATTTTGTGGATCAATTTCTTTGCTGGTTCAGATCACCAAGAAGAATTCTTCCAAGAATGAACTTGATCGCCGACCACCTATGTCCAAACAGCAGGAAAAGACAAATCAGCCGAGCAGTACGCAGTGATGTAGTGGTCTTGAACCTTCGATAGAGTAGGTAGGCAACTAATACTAAGTTGCGGGTTGCTCCAATCATAATGTGCTAGTTGGTACCGTTCCAGGGTGGGTCCCCACGTGAAACCCTCTTATCCTTCTTCTTTGCGTTGGACATGCTCAATTGCTCAAAGGCCTTTCTGCAGCATAATATTTTCCCCGAATCTATCTTGATGGAGAAAAACACAAGATATTTTGATTTCGCAGTGTTTCCTTGACTGTCCGAAAAGGCTTACTCTTAGACACTTAGTCCATCTTAGTCCTTTTGGTTAAGAAGGGATGTCTTATACTAAATCACAAAAGGACCCATGGACAGCCAAAGTTTCGAAATCTCTCCCTGCTCCAGCTCTCAGCTACCGGTGCCGTTCCGCCCCCCCTTTCCGGGCCAGTCCCAGGCGCCGCGCAGAGGAGGACTTGAGGGTGCATTTGAAGCACTTGGTCACGCGGCAGGACATGGTTGGTCACAGGCCGGAACAGCCAGAGGACAACCAAACCGGGATCATGGTAGCTGCATCAAGCTACATCCGCTCGTTGTGCTTCCGACCATGGCCATGACCGGTCCAACGGTCGGAGACTGCGTGGGTCCGTTGCGAACTGCGGCCCGAACGTGGTGTGTTCTTCGATGGTTCAGGCGCCGAGGATTTGAGGATGGAAGATGCACACCTGAAATTCCACCTTTCGAGTAGTGATATGGCTGTGGGTCATGGCATGCGGCTCCCGGAACTCACCCTGGTAGGTGGACCTCCGAAACGTAGTCTCCAGTCTGTTCCAACCGAAGTGTCCGGGGTTTCGGTGGAACCCTAAACCGTAAAACCCTAATCTTGGCCTACAGCCAGATGGCTGTGGGGTCAAACCTGGGATCACTTGCTTGGAGGTTGTGAACAGACTAGACGACCTGGAAGGGTCCAGCTACATGGTGTTGGGGCGTCAGGTGATCTTTCACCCGTCCTCATATCATCTCATATCCACCGGTTTCAGGCTCCACATCCGAACTCGAAACAAAGCATCCAATTGACTGAATCCCTGAACTGACTTTCATAAGCCATGAGGCCAGACCCTTCATAGCAAGGATTGGCAACCTCAAAGTCCATTGCCTTCAGATTCCGGATCTGGAGGAACTGAGGAAGGAACCATCAGCTGCAGAAGCAGCTACTGGCAGGTATTTGTTCAGCCCAAAAACAATCTTCTCAACCATCCCGGACCATCCCAATGTTGTTACGGCACCTCTTGTTGGTTCCAGAATCCTACCTATGCAGTGGATAACCTCTATAGACTTTTTGGGCGGGACTCCAGAGAAACATCACACCCCAAAAGGAATCATGATTTGCCGCCCCATTGGCCCATTGGCCCTCAAATCAACCACCCCAATGTATAATCTAAATAATGCACTTCCTTTGAACATCTCCAGCCCATTCCAACCCACATCGCCCTCCCTTCACATATAGACCACCGTTCACATCGGTCCGCTTTTTCACCCCGCACCCCCTCCGTGAACACAGCGTTTGGCTACCGCGCCAAGGTCACCGCTGATGGCCGCGTGCTGTGCGGCCTCCGCCGCCTCACGGCCCAGGGCGTGGCCCCCGGCGACACGCTGACGGCGACGGTACGACAGGCGGTCGGGTGCGATGGGGGGAGACCGGTCGCAGATGGCAGAGGCGAGTCGGTGAAGCGGTGACCGCGAAGAATCTAAGAGAATGGCGGTCCAATTGGTCAAAGAGGTGTAGTTGTTTTCTTGTTGACTTTGAAGCAACAAATTACTGTATATATAAGCATCCATTGCACACCATTGGACCTCACCCAGCGTATTTCTAAGACTGCGGGCCTCCTGATGGTCATGCTTGCATGTTTTGGGATGTCGCCGAATATGGCGAAAGGAAAGAGTGAGGTGCTGTTGCAACTACGAGGATGTGGGAGCCAACGACTCAAGAAGGCACTTGTGCAAAATGATCAGAAACTCCAGACGGTGGCGCAAGCTGCCGCAGATGAGATTGCTTTGGTCGGACGATACAAGCATTTGGGTCTGTGGCTGACTGAGAACAACTCACCACTACTGGACTTGAAGTCTCGTTTTGCCATCGCACATGCAAGACTTGGTCAGTTTCGTGTGGCAATCTTCGGGAACAAGGCCTTGCCTCTGAGAAAGAAGGTGCTACTTTTTGACTCACTGATCCTATCAGCTGTTTTCTGTAATGTGGCAGCCTGGGCTCCCTTTACCACGGCAGTCAATGTTGCTTGGGGTCGCAAGTTAGGTGGTTTGTATAGAAGATTTGCGATGATCCACGCAGGTTTGGCTGTCAGAGAATGGACGGATCAGAGGCTTCAGCAAGAAATGGGATTTGTCCCGCCCATGGTTCTGCTGCGTTCCATTCGACTACGATTTTTAGCACATGTAGTGGGGGCAGCAAATGATGCTACCTGGGCATTGCTACAGCTTGGCAGTTCATGGTGGCAACAAGCACAAGCAGATGTTGATTGGCTCCAATCTCAACGACGTTTTCCGCTGGGAATGGGGAGACTGATTGAGGACTGGACTTCCTGGTCGCAATATATTGGATCCTCTCCCACTAGGTGGAAAAAGTTGATTTCACGTGCTGTTCAGCATAACGTGGAACAGGCCTCTTTGGTGCATCGGTGGGATGAATGGCATGACGCAATCGCCACGGACTTTCACCAGATGTGTGAAACAACGGGACCTGAGATCCTTGCACCGGCCACAACCCAACATGGCTGTATTTGTTGCCAGCAGTACTTCCAAACCAAGGCAGGCTGGAGTGTTCATGCGTTTAAAGTCCATGGGAGAACCACTATGGGCCGACGTGTGGCTGTTGGATCTCAATGCCCCAGCTGCCTGAAGCAGTATGCCTCGCATGTGGCGCTTATCCATCACCTCAACTACCAGGCCAGATGTCGTAATTCTGCGCTTTGCCGGGGTTGGACTGCGGATTTGGAGCCGGGCATGAATAGTGTCATTGCGGGCCAACAGAGACCTGCTTTTTGGAAGCCCCCAATTCAAGCAGAAGGTCCAGTTTTGCCACCGGGTCTTCCTCATGATGAGCTGCCTATGGTGGAGGCTGAAACTGAACTCTGCACCTCATGGACCTGTGCAATTGCGCAGATCTCCAGCCATTCGAGTGTTGATATCACTGTCTCTGCCCTCAAAGAGGCTACCATGCAGACGGTGTTGCACGTGGATGAGATCAAACAACTTTTCACACAGTGGAGTGCTCGATGTCATGCGAACTGTGCTCCATCCCATTGGGAACAGGTGCATCAGGTATTTTTGACGTCAGCAAACGCTACATGGTTTATCGCTGAGAAGCTGGGAAGTAGGCCCCGCCTGTCCTTTGATGGAGTCTGGGAGAGATGGTGCCAAGACTTGCCAAAGCTACCAGATGTGCCTAGGGTCTTAAAGTACAGGCCAGTGCTCATGGCGCATATATTTTCCGGGCATCGGCGTGAAGGTGACTTACAGTCCTTCCTCGAAGATCTTCAAGTTCCAGAGCCACACTGTGTTCGGGTGCTGAGTGTGGACATTGTGTTCTCGGAGTCCTGGGGGAGCTTGTTATGTCCAACAACCTTCAATAAGTTCAAAGATGCCATTCGTTGTGGACTACTGCGCATTGTTTGTGCAGGACCTCCATGCGAGACGTGGAGCAGAGCACGCTCCCATGGATGTGAAGATGGAGGCCCACTTCCTGTACGGGATGCCACCCACCTTCGAGGCCTACCAGAGCTTCGCTTGAGGGAGGTCAGACAAGTCTCGACAGGGAATGATTTGCTGGGTGTTGCAATTCGTTTTGCGGCCAATATGCTGATCAGCCAGGGTTTCTTCTTGTTGGAACATCCAAAGGATCTGGGAGGTGAACAGCCCTCGATTTGGCGGCTGGCTGTGATCAAGCTGCTCCTAGCTTTTCCAAATGTCCGCCTTTGTCATGTACAGCAGGGCCTGTTCGGTGCACAGTCGGCAAAACCGACCACTTTTCTGATTGTGAACCCACCGCCCAATGCTGATGGCATTTTAGCAAAGTTTCGCACGCGCGATGTGGTGCCCCAGACGGTATCCATTGGTCGTGTGAACGGACAATGGAGAACGGCGGCATTGAAGGCCTACCCGGCTGCACTTTGCAGAGCAATTGCGGCTGTGGTACAGGGCTACCTGGCGGAGATGGAGCCGTCACTTGCTCCTCTCGATGCTCCTGCTGACTTTGAAGAGTTTGCGGAGCTGTGTGTGCCGCCCGTCGGGGCCCAAATGGGCCCCGACTACCACCCGACCAATTTGGTGCATGTACAGGCTCCTGGCTAGACCAAAGGCCGTTGAAGTGTAAAAAAAAAACTGGGGAATATGGAGCATCCAACACATATGACGGTCCAAAAGAGGGTGCTCGTCATCTTTCTGTTGAACATATATTTTTGTGCGCGAAATGGTGGTGCACAAGATCAGGACACGGAAACCACAGATAAAAACTCAATTGGGACAGCGAGGAAATCCCTGCTTCGAGAGCAGTGTGTTTCTAAATAGGGAGACCGTTTTTTTGTCCTCCAGGACAAAGGAATATAGACCACATCCATCCACAAACCATTGGAGGGTTTCCCTCTTTAAATACAAGCCCAAATTGTGAGGTGGAATTCACGTTCAGATCCTGAGAGGGTCTAGAACTAAGCGAACTAGTCGGCATTGCCTCAACTGGAACACTAAGCTATAGGCAACCACAGAACCAAATGGCTGGGATAGAAGAACAACAGAAGGGATTGACACTGTCACATACACATGTATAGATCAAAAACAATCGTCATAATATTAATATTTGCAGGAACACACCTATCCCACTTGTGGATACTTGTTGTCACGGAAGGCCTTTGGGCTTATCGTGTTTGGATCGTGCAGCTTCAACGACCAGCCGTTCAATTATTGCACTAGACGTGATGGTTCGACTTGATTCCGGACTTCCAAATGTGACCAGTTCGGCCTCCTGTTTTTACTGGTACCATACATAATGGCCCCCATGTTCATGATTCTCGCACGCATTTTGCAATGAGCGGGATGGCAACCCTTTGAAGATCAACGGCGGTGCTAGTGGAAAGACAAACGAACCTTCAGGGGGTTGCCATGACCGCAAGGACCGCTGTTGATCTGAGGTGAGCACCGCTATTGTATGAGGTGAGGTGTTGAAGGTGCAGAGCATTGCTCTGTCTTCGGAGCTCTGCTTGGACCTGGCTTGGGGGGTGATGAATCCACCCGAAACGCATCAACAAAAAGGCACGAAGCACATTAAAATCAATGAGTCACCCCCAAGGCGAGTATATAGATTATTTTGTTAAGACAATAATTGCCTATATATATATATATATCCATATATGTTCTGCCTCAAAGAGTTGTGGTAAGTGACGACAGACATCAGGATCTTTCCCAAATCCACTGGATGCTTTCTGCTTCGTGTTTGCACCGGCGAACCAGGCGGCCTTAGTGTCGCGCATCGGCTCGGCAGCGATCGCACTTCTGAAGCCGCTCGGGTAGCGATCGAACCTGTGGCCAGTGCCGTGGTGAAACGATTCCGGAAGATCTGGAGGAATACTGTAACCTGCGGTGGTGACAAGGGGAGAGAAGTGGTGATGAGTTAGAGTGGACTCTTGACATGGAGTAAGAGAAGAGAATTTGGAGGACATCCAAACTTGCAGTTCATATTTGTAGTCCGTTCCAACAGCCGTTAACCATAAGAGATTTGTTGGGGATCCTCACGAGAAGTACCCCCCGCTACCCTTGATGACCTGGGAATCAGTCGTGTAGTGAGTGGTGCACAACCTCCTAGCCAACAGAACAGTTTGACTCACAAAACCATCTTTATAGGTGTTAGCTGTTTGATGCTCTTTGATGTGCTTTGATCCAACCATCCCTTTCTTAGAGCCTGATTGATCAAGAGGACATTTGGCACTGTGTATTGGAACTGCTGGTCCGCAAAGGATGACACGCACAAAACGAGAAGTGTACACTCGACAGCCGCTTTTATGCTCGAAAATAGGAGCGTTGAACCTTGCAGGTTATGAGCCCAAGGTCGCAGGTGTAAGACCTTCCGGCAAGGGGAAGGCGGCCCTTCGCTCTCCGCAGCCATGGCCATGATGGCGAGGCGCCGCCGGCAAGCTCCAGGCGAAGGTGGAGAAGAAGACCCTGATGATCAGGGAGGCCTTCATCTACATGATCGGCAGCTGGAGGAAGAGCAGCTTGCTCTGGAGGATGGTGAAGATGTTGGGGAAGAGGAGACATTGGAAGGCCCGAAGGGACCGCCTACAACCTTGACACCTTTGACCCCACTCTTCACGCCGGAACAGCTGAAGGGACTTCATGAAGTGCAGAGCCAAGCTCCTCACTTGTATGCTCAAGTCCCGAGGCAGAGCATTTGGCAGCCTGGAATGGGAAACAGGTCGCCAGAGGAGGTGCAGAAAGAGAGACCCACGTTCCTGCCGAAAGAAGAAGGTTCAGTGGGAGTGCTTCCACAGACGAGCACGACGACGGGGACACCATCACCGGCACTGGTGGGCGACCATGTACCAGATGACCAGCGACGTGGACGACCAAGAGAACCACGGGTACCTGAAGTACAAGAGCCTGAAAGTGACAGCGATGGGCGACAACCTCCCCAACCTAGAGAGCAATCGGTGGTTCAGATCCAAGGGAACGGGCCTGGAGGAAGAGGTCTACATGTTCCGAGAGGCTTTGGACAAACTGGCCCACCTGGGTACATCATGCCCCATGAAGAGAGGAGGGGACCTATGCCGCATCAAGGAGGATGGCAAGTTCAGCTGCATCCCTATGGCCCTGGTCCGCCGAATCCACAGGAGATGATGACCATGTTGGCAATGTTGAAACAGGAGAATCAACAACTGCAGATTCAGCAAGCAGAGCTCATGGACGCCATGAAGTACCAGAGGGCAAGCCTGGAAGCCAAGGTCCATGATCTACAACGTGAGCTGGAGCAGCAGGCTTTCAGAACGCCAGAAAGCGATGAGCCTGTGAATGGTCAGCTGGAATTGACGGTCGACGAACCTCCGAGAGAGACAGACTTGGAGGTGGAAAGACGCCGGCTGTATGAGTTGACTCCCATGCAACAGTTCGAGCAGCTCCAATCCTTGATGGGGACGGTCACTCCGGCGCCAGCAAAGCGAGGTGGTCGGGGGCAAGGACAACGAGAGAGGTCGAGATCTCAAGGTCCAAGAACTGCACGTCAGGGAGGAGGTCAACCTGAGGGCTTGGTGGCATCTCGGGCGAAGGGCTTCGAACCGGAAGGGAGACAAGGGACCGGGAAAGGTGTGGGTCAGCCAAAGAAGAAAGCCACAGCCGAGCAGCCTGGTCGATCTTCAACTGCAAATGTTCGGGAGGAACCGTCAAGAGAGCGCGGTGGTGGCATGGCTGATGCAATGTCTATGCTGATCACCTATCTGGTCGACAAGGACAAGAAGCAAGAAGGACCGGAGTCGGTCAAGCCGGGGACGGCCACACTCCCAGTCCTGGCAGAGCCATCCGATACGGCTCCCATCGACCTTGCTGACTGGCTCACTATGGTGGAACCGGCTATGACAGACCTTAGCGACTCGTCAGGCGAGTGGTGGGAGTTGGTGGTGAGCGAAGCAAGGGCTTGGTACAAACAGTACATCAAGCTTCGTCCAATTCAGCGGGCATCATCCAAGATCGAGCCGTCTGCTGAGTTGCAAAAGCCGAAGTGGGCTCGAGTGGAAAAGAGGGCCATCAGCATGCTGCTTTCTTCAGTTCCCACAACAGTGAAGGAGGAACTGGTAGCAACGAGGACTTTGTCACCGCTGGGGCTGGTGAGCAAACTCATGGTCCTCTATCAACCAGGTGGTGCTCATGAGCGCACCATCATCCTGCGGCAACTTGAAGATCCGCCAGAAGCAGGGTCGCCAAGCGAAGCCTGCATGGGGCTCCGACGCTGGATGCGCTGGCTCAGGAGGGCCACCGACATTGGCCTGAATCTCCCTGATGCGATCATCCTCATGAAGGGCATCAACAAACTCAGCAAGCGGATCCTCACTCAACAACCGGATCTGCAATTCAGATGTGCCTTGGTCAAAAACACCTTGCAGCTTGATACCATCCCCAATGAGGAGACTGTTCGGACGTATGCTGAGCATTTACTTGCTGAACTTGAACAACTCATGCACCGAGTCAGACCGTCTTCGAGCACTACGAGACCTGGAAATCAGGGAGGTGGACCATTGGCAGTAAAGGCACTTCAAGGGGAAGATCGAGAGAAGAAGGGGGACTCGCCAACGACATCGGCGAAGGGTCCTTGTCGATATTTCCTCACGGAGTCTGGATGTCGGAGAGGGCAGTCGTGCAAATGGGCACATCAACTGGAGACTGGCGACAAGCAGAACCAGGAGAGGAGGTGCTTTACGTGCGGGGCCACACAACACCTGGCTCGAGACTGTCCGAGGAAAGAGACGGCAAAGAAGGGGGAAGGACCTCCATCTGGCCAGAAACCGAAGCTTCAGAAGCTGCTGGACAAAACCGGTGGTGGTGGAAATGGGACCTCGCGGAGTGAGTCGGGGGCTTCAATTTCTCCTCAAGCAGCATCCTCGCAGTCGGTGACTTCGGAGGCGGTATCGGATGCAGCGACAAGAACTGCAGACCCAATCAAGAATGTGCTTGATGAGGCGCACAAGTTGCTCAAGGGCATGAACCTCGAAGAAGAAGGGCAAGATCGTGCAACGGACCTTGGTGCGACGTTGAAGAAGCTGAATCGAGCATGGGAGAAAGGTGGCCCAGAGCTACGGGCAGTCAAGATAGCTCGAGTCCAACAAGGTCGAGAAGGACTTCTGGATTCTGGGGCAACGCACGCTCTGAGGCCCAAGCTCCGAGGAGAAGATCTTCAGAGATATCGCCAGGTGAGAGTGACGTTGGCTGCTGGAGGAGCACAAGACATCCGAATGACAGAAGGGGAGACGCTGGTCCACAACAGTGAGAACGTGGAGCCGATCGTCCCGGCCGGAAGGCTCGTTCGCGATTTGGGATGTCGAATCGAATGGATGGGAGAAGTGTGCACCTTGGAGCATCCAGTCAAGGGCAACATTGACCTTAGGGTCGAAGCTGGATGCCCTCAAATGGACCATGATGTTGCGTTGGACCTCATCAGGGAGCTGGAGGAATCTCGGTCGAGAACGGCGTTGAGGTGCTACCGATTTGGGGAGACTCACAATGACGTCGACTGGCTGGACCGGGTGGTGGCAGATTGTCCGATCTTCGACAAGGTCCCGATCCGAATCAAGGATCGCCTGGTGGACTCTCCAGCAAGGAATCTTGAGGTCCTTGGAGTCAATCGACGCATCCGCAAGCGCTGGAAAAATGAGGGTGTGGTGGTTCATCTCTACGCTGGGAAGAATGAGGGCTACGATCTCACAAGGGCTCTCAAGGAGGCTGGCGGAGACACTACGAGATTGTTGGAGGTGGATATCCTTCGAAACCAAAGTCATGACATGTCAAAGGACGATGCAATGTATGCAGCACTGCTAAGAATTGCGATGTTGGGCTGGATTGATGCGGTGATCGGTGGACCCAACTGCAGGACCCGCAGTGAACTACGACATCATCCAGTCACGGGACTACCAGGGCCATCGAGATCGTTGGGAAGACCCTGGGGCTTGGACGAGTTGGATGAAGTGGAGAGGGCAAAATGCCATTTGGACGATGTGCTGCTGTTGCGTATGGTGACGCTCTATGTGGTGGCAAAGCTGGGTCGAGATGCACGATTGTCCCAGGAGAAGAATTCCGCGTTGCTGCCAACGGTCAGGTTCTTGATGGAGCAGCCTGCAGCGCCTCAGCACATGCCGGAAGTGGCATCCTTCTGGAGAACCGAAGAGTGGAGGGTAATGAAGGAGCATCTCAACCTGGACATGGTGACCTTCAACCAGGGTGCCTATGGTGGTATGGCGGTGAAACCTACCTCACTGGCATTGAACATGGAGTTCATGGTTCCCGAGGATCGGGGCCCGCCCAAGGCCTTCTTGAAGACCAAGCATGAGGTGTCGAGCTCCGAGCTGGCGAGATGGGCCCCCGGAATGATGCGAGAGATTGCAAGAAGCATCACTGTCAACATCCAGAAGAGGCGGGTGACGATGAAGGCCTTGTCTTGGCAGGAGCACCTGGCGCAGGGACACGTGCCGTTCCGCAGAGACTGTGCTGTCTGTCAGAGAGCAGCGGCAAGGGATCGACCACATCGAGCTCAAGGGATAGCGGCTCCGTGTGTGCTGTCGCTGGATCTGACTGGACCATTTGTGCTCGGCCATGACATTGACGGCGACCTCAAGAAGTACCTCCTGGTGGGAGCATACACGTGGCCGGTCATGGAGGAGGCACCATGGGACGAGGTCGAACAGCTTGAAGTGCTCCCTGACAAGGACTGGCCAACACTCGAGGAAGAAGAAGCTCTTCGGGAGGTGGAGTATGACCTGGCCGAGGATCTGGAGGCTCATGGTGAAGAGATGTCCTATAGACCTACGTCTGACGAGGGTGAAGACCTGGAGATGGGTGAGCCGGAGGAGGATGAACGGCAGGGCGAAGGAGACGGTGATCAGTTAGAGCCGCTACCTGATCCAGGACCCTGTGAACCCGAACCACCATCGGTGCCGCTCCCAAAGACTCCAGAGGAAGTTGAAGAGCACCAGAAGGTCTACAAGATGATCACAATGTCCATTTGCCTGCCACTGACCTCGAAAAGCGCAGCGGAAGTCCTTGCTGGAACACAAGAACTGTTTGGGATGCTGAGACGCCATGGCTACCCTGTGGCTAGAATCCATACCGATGCAGGCCGGGAGTTCGACAACAACCCGTTCAAGAGGTGGTGCTTGGAGAGGGGGCTGGCTAGAACCTTCAGTCCTCCGGATGAACACCAATCAAACGGTCGTGCTGAGGCCATGATTGCGTCGATCAAGCAAAGGGTCCGTCGACTTCTACATGCTTCGGGCATGCCCACGAAGTGGTGGCCGGCAGCGGCGAGACATGTCGCGGAGCTGGAAAGAAGGAGAAGGGAGAACATCAAGGAGACGCTTCCACGCTTTGGGCAGCTCATCACGGTGAGAAAGCGAGCTTGGGAGCGAGGAGGACCTTTTGCAGCGACATCCGAGATGGTGACCTACCTGACCCCTACACCGCAAGTGTCCAAAGGGCACGCGGTTCTCACGGACAAGGAGAAGGTCAAGGTAGTGAGCTACTTGATAAAGGATGTCAAAGAGCCTAAGCCTGACGAACGAGACTTGGTCATGGAGGAGGTCCATATCCAAGACGACCCTGTACGGCTTCGCTGGAGGTTGAGAGAGAAGACACCACTGGCATGCATACGGGGAGAAGAAGACCTACAGAGGGAGGAGGATCGTCGAATGCTCTTTCAGGCCGTCTATGAGGAGGAGGGTCACTTGTTGGGAGCTGCTCCAAGAGAAGTTCCTCCGTTGAGCCGAGGTCTGGTTGCTCTACGACAAGAACAGGTGGCATCAACCCAACGACTCTTGGAAGACGAGATTCTCCAAACCCGGATCGTGCCCAACGATGAGGTGTACAAAGACCGGGAGCTGTGGCTGGAGGCCATTATGAAGGAGATCCAGTCCTTGGAGGGCAAGAAGGCGATTCGGCGACTGACTCCCGCAGAAGTGGCCTACTACCAGAGAGAGCATGGAGACAAGGTGGAGGTGGTTCCAGGGAAGGCCATCCATGCGGTGAAGGCCCCTGACGGACGAAGGAAATGCCGCCTGGTGGTGTGCGGGAACTACCTGAAGGGAGCTGGAAGAGGTCCTGGAGATCGTTCGGAGGCAGCTCAGCTCTATGCAGGCGGGGCGGATACTACATGCTTGAGGACCTCATTGGCACTGGCTGCTACGCGGGGCTGGCAGGCAGCTAGCCTGGACATAAAGACTGCTTTCTTGAATGCTCCTCTGCGAACGCTACAGGAGAGCAGCCGGAAGAAAGCCCTCGCCTTGGAAGACGCCCATGGTCGACCCCAAGAGGATCATGAAGAAGCTGGAGGAGGTCGCGATGGTCAAGAAGAGATGGCCGTGGAAGAGCAGCAGGAGGAGGACCTCACGAAGAGGAAACGACTGGTGCTCATGCTTCCTCCGAAGATCCTCATTCGGCTGGGATTGGTGAAGGACGGGGAAATGTGGTTGGTGGAGAAGGCCCTGTATGGCTTGCGTGAGTCTCCGAAGCTTTGGGGGGACTACAGGGACATCGAGATCAGCCAGATGTCCTTTCAGGTGAACTCCATCACCTATGAGTACCAGCAGAGTTTCGCGGAGGAGAACTTGTGGCTGGTGCGCAGGAAGGATGCCGGAGGTGGAGATCAGGTTGAGGGACTTGCCTTGTTGTACGTGGATGATGTGATGCCCTTCGGCACCAGAGAGATTGTGGAGGAAGGGCTCCAGAGCTTTCGAAGGACCTGGGAGACGTCCGAACCTACGTGGGTGGGAGATCGTGAACCAGTTCGGTACTGTGGAATGGAGTTGAGCCGAACGGAACAAGGAGACTTCTTTGCCAATCAATGTTCCTACTTGAGGGAAGTGGTTCGGCGACATGGCATGGAGGACCTTTGCAGCGCTCAGATGATGAAGGAATCCCAGGAACCCGAGGATGAGCTGGATCGCACGCCCTTGCAGGTCCGAGAGGCACAACAACTCGGAGGAGAACTTTTGTAGCTGGCAACGAAGACGAGGCCGGACATTGCCTACACGGTCAGCCGAATTTGCTCAGCGACGAGCCGGGCTCCAAAATGGGCGATCCAAACCGCATACCAGCTGATCAGGCACCTGAATGCCACGCAGGGCCTGGGCTTGTGGTACCGGAGAGACGCCAACTTCATCCTGGAGTCAGTGAGTGATGCCTCTTTCGCTCCAGGAGGTGCTCATAGCCATGGCTGCGTGATCACAACGGTGGCCGGAGCACCGGTGGCATGGAAGAGCTGCAAGCAGCCGTTCCCCGCCCTTTCAACCGCGGAGGCCGAGCTCATAGAGGTCATCGAAGCGGTGGTTGTGGGAGACAGCATCGCATGTCTGGTTGATGAGATGGCGAAGGACGTCCCAAAGTTCCTCAAGTGTGACAACACTGCTGCAGTCTCGATAGCGAGTTGTGCAACTGGAGCGTGGCGTACAAGACACTTGAAGGTCCGGGCCGCCCACCTCAAATGGAGAATCCAATCTGGTCAATGGGAGCTGAAGTACCAACCTGGAAGGGAGCTCATCGCGGATATCGGCACCAAGTCTTTGCCAGTGGCCCGGGTCAACGAGCTGAGGCAACGGATGGGAATGTCATGGCAGCCCGACTCAGTGGACGAAGTACATGAGGAGGACAAGGGCATTGTCGCACCGAGGGCTATGAAGTTGGTCGCGAAGTACCACTTGGAGAAGGCCATGAGGCTTGTTGTGGTGCTGTCGGCATTGAAAGAGGTGCATGGAGCCATGGCGGAGAATGTCACCAAGGATGCCGATGAGAATGTCGAGGGTGACCAGATCTTGTACCTCCTCAGCGTCATGATGATGTTGCTGGGAATGGTGCTCATGAAGGTCATTCAAAAATGCCGCTTGCATTGGAACCGGGTGGAGGACGATCCGGCGACGCGTAGAGTGAGGGTCTCTCGCTTGGCTGGTCAATCTTCTTCCGGGACAAGGACTTCTACCAGACCTCAAGGAGGAGGAGATCGAGAACCACGTCAACGTGATGGGGAATGGCAGCAAATGAACCATGGAGGGCAGAGTGCTTCATCCTCATCACCAAGGGGTACCAGGATGGGTGGAGGCATTGAAGATGGACATCAAGGGAGACCGGATCCCGCGCTGAATGAGCCACAAGAGGAACCGCCGAATCAAGCTGACCTACCTGGAGGGCATCATCTGCAGATCACCCTGACTGGGAGGAGGAGGCGATTCCCCAATGAGCCAACGTGGAAGATCTGGTTCGCGGAGTCCAGCAAGTGCTTCCATAGACAGCGGAGCTGCAGGGGATTGAGCAAGGCCAACCGAGTTCATGAACAGCCGGTGTGTGGAGCCTGTCAAAGGGCCACCAGAGGCCAGAGAAGTCTTCGAGAGACGAACTTCGTCTATGAGGACCAGCTCGGCAACTTCCACACCGATGCTCGGTGCAATGCGGTCACGGGACCGATGACTGAGATCCGCCAATGTAAAGTGTGTGGCGGCTGAAGCGGTTTGAGCCTACGGCTCGATTTTCGAATGCTGGTCAGATGCTAAACGCACGACCAGGGAGGAGTGCTGGTCCGCAAAGGATGACACGCACAAAACGAGAAGTGTACACTCGACAGCCGCTTTTATGCTCGAAAATAGGAGCGTTGAACCTTGCAGGAACAACAGTCCTAATATCAGGCAATGTCGACATATCAGCCCCAAGGGTTCAGCGTATCCTGCAGAAAAGTCATGGTCCTTGATGCCACAATCCCGAAACATCCCGAGACAACATGCACATCAGACATCCACATCAGCATGCCAGAGAGCTACCCAGCTACCGGTGTTTGACCCGCAGAATTCCAAGACTCTTCGATGCAGAACAGATATGTGGACTTACGAGGCCCGGTGATGCTTTGCCAGCCCTTCCAGCCAGCCAGCCAAACAGGCAGGCCACCCAGGCAGGCCACCCACCAACCCACCCTCCCACCCCAAAAAGAACTATATATAATTAATTACCGTAGAATAGGTGGTCGATCGCGATTGCATCTGTCCTCAAGCGAATCCCTGGAGCGCTTGGATCATCGATCCGCTTTGCCGTGGTGCTTGGAGTCGTGGGATTCCTGCGGTCAACTGGATGTGGATCACCAGGTGTTTGAGACGAGGCGGTTCAGGAACCTGTTGCAAGAAGCATCTTCACCCAGACCTTGTGCCCAAGGCCCAGAATGGGGCTGTTCACTTCTTGCCAGGCAGTTTGTTATATCTCGAGACTTCAGCCTTGCAACCAGTAACCAGTGGATCTGGTAGATCGTGATCGGAACCTTTCCCGTGTCCCAACACCGGGCGCGCCACCCGGCCCAGCGTGCACCTGCGGGCGAGGTCGGATGGCTCGGTCGTCGCCTGGGGCGATCCCTTCAGTGGCGGAACGCTCACCGCCATGCAGGCGACGGCGGTGCAGGGTGGGTGGTGGGTGGGTGGGTGCAGATCATGGTCATTTCAGTCCAATTCTTGAACCACAGCCGAAATGGTAAACACGCCATTCCTAGGACTTCGTGGCCATTTCTCCAACCGGTTCATTGAGTCGCCCACAACGGCGGATCGCGCTGCGCAGGAGGAGCGCCTGCAGGATGTGCAGCAGATCGCGGCCTCCTTCGGCGCCTTCTGTGGCGTCACCGGCGACGGTGCAGCGGTGGCCTGGGGCGACCCTGACTTTGGGGGTGATGCTCGGAAGATGTGGGTGGAGATGTGGGAATGGGGGGATGGAATGGGATGGAAACAACTTGGGGGAATGAGGGAAGCCGTGGGATCGTGTGAAATTCATTCAGTAATCAGATGTGTAATCAGTCATGTGGTGTTGTTTTGAAAGCTCGTGGATTTCTGGATGCATGAACTGGGCGAATGAGAGCGATTTGTTCGAGAGTGCAGGATTCTGTCACTGTGGTTAGCCAATTAGGCAAAAGCAATGGTGAATGGCTTGAAAAGGATACAAGTTGTGATCGAGATCTGAATGATATGTGATATGTGTTTTGCCAAACAATTATACATATATATATATATTGAAACTTGACAAGTTGAGCAGAAATGACACCCTTAAATTACCTTTAGAGGTCCGCGTGTTGCCCAAATCAAAGACTCCGCATAAGACCTGGTCTCCAGAAAACTAATCTTTTGTCAAACACTTAATTTTATATAAACCATGCTAAACTGCTAAACCGTAACCCCTGACCCCTTCTCAGTCGAAACTTCTAAAAAATGTTGTTACCACCTAAAAGGATGACTACCATACTCTCCAATCACCTTCTGAGAAGGTACTTGGATCCCTAGGGTACAATACCAATAACATGTCAGAAGCATTCCCAAAGGCCCGACGGCCCGTCATTCAGCTTCCAACCTGGCTGGGCCGAGGACAGCCACGCGGTGCGGCATCAGCTGAAGGATGTCAAGGTGCGGCAAGCGGCGGCGGTGTTTTCGTGCTGAAATGGTACTGAAACGGTGCAGGTAGGGTGTTTCGTGGTGTCTCCAGTTGTAGACTGAAATACCCTAGGCCACTCTAGTAGAAGGGCGTTGACTTTTGGAGTTTGTTCCCTTTAGTGAGTCGGCCATACTTATTGGGGATTTGTATGTGCAAGACTTATGGGGAGGGTTTCATCCGAATGTGACTAGGTGCAAGAGGACTGACTCACCTAGTGCATTTCGGAAGACACTGACACGTCGTTCGAGTTCCGCAAGCTGCTTATGCAGATGTAGGTTCTTTTTTCCAGTAGATCATTCTTGTGAACTGATGAACCTCTAGCAGGAGTCAACATGTTAATCAAGATTTACCAGATGTTGATAATGTCAGCATCATTCATCATTCTGCATTGTGTGCTCATTGTAATTCTTTTGGCCAACAGATCACATCAGAATTCCTTATCAGCAAGCACAAACTGATGTTTCAGCAACTACAGTCCTACTCATGTTCTGCTGTTCTGACTATAAGAAGGCTGCTGCAATAGACACGTGTATCGCCGAGAAGAAAACAACAGCAAACATGTAAACTCCGAAGAAGTTGACCGAGCTGCTTCGATCCCACTCGTGAAGCGCACCAATTCAACATAGTTCAACCATGTTGAACCCCATGAACCCTATATAGGGATCTACAGAAAACTAAGGCTCCAACTACCTCCGTTTCGAAGGTGCTTGGGGTGGGTGCCAGGGGGGGTTGAACCACCTTCTGAGGATATGATTGGAGCCATCTTTGATCCCCTAGAGATCCTGGCCTACCTCCGTTGAGGTGCTTGGGGTGAATGCATCGGGGGTCCAACCACCACCTGACAACACATGGGGCCAATCGGAGCCCGCCGTTCGGACACCGGGAAGCTTCGGTTGGATCCGGTCCACCTGGACGCGACCCGGACTCGTGTGACCACGACCACGGTGGGCTGGGGACGTCGCAGGAAGTGTTTGCCACGGGCTTTGCGTTTGCAGCTTTGAAGGTGGATGGCACGGTCGTCACATGGGGAGCAACTTGATCCAGAAGTGATGGAAGTGCTGGACGTGAACGACTCGTTATGAATGGCCAGAACTTCTGATATGAATGGTCCATACCAATGCCTAGCAACTTATGCAGTACATACCACTGAAGATAAAGCCTAAATTGTACCGTTCTCTCCTGCACCCTTAGCTGCTTTTGTGGCTGTTCAACCCTGTGTGATTATGGAGTTATTCTTTGCTCGGTGAGGGTGGGAGGTATGAAGACGCATCACCAAGCTGCCTGAAGACATTGATGCTGAACCTTTGCCCAAGCACGAGCTGTTCTCCCCAGTCACTGGGGGATGAGTCAATGATATTCAATGATCATGGCTTCATGCAACAAAGCCATGGATAAGTACCCAGGCTTATACAAGTCTCATGTTGGTTTATGTTTGGGGTCAATTGTGTCCCTCCCTCTTTGAGTTCCACCTGCTTTGCTCCAAGGAGAACTACCCAGGTGGTGATAGCAGAGCAGTGCAAAGCCAACTGCGAGATGTTCGGACGTGTCTTGGTCCTGGTTCAGCAAGAGCTGCTGTGGAAAATATTTAAAAGTAAATTTGGTGGGTTTGTATTTTGTAGCGGATGTTGTGTAGAATTGAGTTTGGGAAGGTAACACAAATCCAGATGATAGCCGTTCCAGAGATGTTTCATCCAATCAATCTTGGTCAGCCAAATCTTTATGCCGGAGACTGGTGAAATCGGAAGTTCTACCATTGCATTGTGAACTCGAGAGTGTATGTAGTAAATCCCACAGATGAATCCGTGGAAGAGGCACATCACAATATAATAATGTTACTTAAAAGACACATGAATTCACACAGTAAGTGTATATATAATGCTGTCAATGGTGACCATTTACATGATACCAGGAGCTCCACTTGCCGTGCAACCCAACATTTGTCACAAAGGATCACATCACTTGACCCCCCATGATGTGCCCCCCCCCCCCCGAGAGGGCCCCATCACATGAGTCAGAGCCATCCTGCAGAGTCCAACCCCGGATGAGAGGGGTTCAAGGATTCCACTGCGTGTTCTACTTTGTCACACGGATTGAGAGGACCAATGGCACCAAGTGCTCATGTCGGTGTGCTTCTCATGGACCCAAGTGACCCCCCCTCAAAAAGAACGCCATTGATATATACTCTCCCTATAAATCCAGTTGTACCTTCTCAGGTTCGGTACGACTGGATCCTCCAAATTTTACATAACTGCAGTGTCAAACACATCACCGTACCTGAGAAGAGACTTGGATCCCTAGAAGTCCTCTGCCGAGGATCGCAGCCTCCAGCTATGCCTTTGCCGCCATCAAGACCAACGGTGAGGCGCCATCCATGGGGCCCGGCAAAGGAAGATCAAAACGTACTAGCCTTCAGTGTGAAACAAGGAAATCCAATTACATCATAAAATATGATCATATAACATCATGAAAAAAGCTAGGTCAGCATACTAGTATGTAGAGTTTTGACTAGTACATGCCCCCCTTTTGGGATTGCAAAATCTCTTCCCATGGGGGGCTTTATGATTCAAGAGTCTAGAATGAGTCATCACACTTTGCCGAAATCGGCCGAAAGAGTCTCTGGTCTCCAAAAAGACCGATGCAGGAGCTACAAGACAGTCCTTTCGAACTGCTGACGGCAAACTATAGGCTGTCGAGTTGAGCCAGCCACCAAAAACAACACATGTTAATAACATGTTATCCACACACTTCACATGTGGTGCTTGAACTACCTGCCGGATGACCAGAAACACAAGCCTCAGTCTAGTAGTATTCATGGACAGCAGAAATCAGAACTGTGTTGAATTGTATAACCAAAATAGGGAGACCTCCCAGGCAACGACTCCGTGACCTGTCTACCGGGAGGGATGACTCAGGTGTCTCAGGGCTCAGTCAGACTCACCCAAGGGCCCCTAGGGCTCAGTCGTACCTCAGGTTCGGTATGACTGGACCCTCCTGGCACCCACCCAAACATCTTCTCAGAAGGTACGACTGGAGCCCTAGCGAGAAAACATATATAGTACACCCGGTACACCCACGTTATTGACACATGAAGGGCGTCATGACTGGCAACCGAAGCAGAATGACATCAGGTGACATCTGGTGTCCTGAAGGATCGAAATCGATGCCATCGTCAGTCCCCAATGAGACGGCGGAAACTGGGTCCATTCGTAGGGGGAAAACAACAATTTGTTAGTGGGGGGATCATACTATGACCATACTATCAATACATCATATCAATACTATCCATGCAACAAAAAACATTAAAGAAAACTAGTAGGTGGGAATCTACCTTTCCTGTTGTTTGTTGTTTTCTTGCTTCCGTCTTCGACTGGGGGCTTCTCTCCAATCCGCTCGACACCGGACTCTCGGATCGCTCGGAGTCGTGGTCCAAAACGGCCTGACCTGACGTGGCCACAGACGTGGCTGGTGGCCTGACATGGCCCGAGCTGCAGTGGACCTCTTTCGGGTTTGAGAGGATTTGCCTTCAACCAATCACTGCTTTGAAGGTTTCGTTCCATGTTCGTGCGCCCATCTTCCCCTTCGCAGGCCACAGGAATGCTGTTTTAGCAAAAGAGTAGTCGACCAATGTTGTTGCCATGTTTCTTTGGGCTGACGGTTTTTGCGGATCTTTTGATCTTGAACTTCTTGGTAGATGGATGATTGTACGTGTGAAAGAGGCCTCAATACCTTTTGGAGGGAGCCAAAGAACTCTTTAAACTGCAGCACTGAAAAGAGAACCTCTAAAAGACCCATAAAGACCGATGTCTTCCAAGAGATGAGGATCCTTTGGCGCCGATTCCCAAAGATTCCACATCATCTGGACATGCAACCTGCAACGTACCGACGTACCGACGCTGGACTTCCCAGTCACCTGGACCGCTCCGCTGGCGGAGGTGATCACTTGGGGCTCGAAGAATCCTCCCGTGGAGGCCGAGGCCGTGGGTCTCTCGGTGGGTCTCGATGGATGCGGAGTGCGGTGCCCTCCCGTCCGACCTCCACTGACTCATATGACCTCCACTCATGACACCTGTTGAGGTGTTTGAAACTCTTAGCTCAGCCACGTGGGTCTGTGACATCCCCACCACGTACTCCGGGTCTCAACGGTAAACCCAGGTTGATATTTGTCCCGAGGGTCGAATGGGGAGGTCCCTTGCAAGAAAAAGGTCTGAAGTGGGAGATGGTCATTGATGCGTTTTTTTTTTTTTTAAGGGGGCCCAAAGTTTAAAGCACTTACCTACCATCATGGCAATCCATGTTCAGCAGATGTGGGGTGGCAACAGGTTCCATTTCTGGATTATAAGGGGGTGTGACCAGAAATCCAAACCCGATTTGGACCGTCCTCTCTCGCCGAGCTTGGACCTGGAGCCGCTCCTCCCCCAGGAGCTGCCGGCAGTTCAGCACATCGTCGCCAGCCACGAAGCCTTCTGCGCCGTCACGACCGGTGGCCGCTGCGTCACCTGGGGCGACCGGAAGTTCGGAGGCGACAGCCATGCGGTCGAGGCGCCGTGAACGTGCAGAGCAGAGCAGTACAGAGAGAGCTGAGAGAGAGCACCCAGACCTTCTTCTCATGGTTTGTGCGTATAATATAAATGCTTGTTGTTGTTTTAGATGGTGTTCTGTTGTTGTTTTTATCCTTTGCCTCTGCCAGCTGTGCTGTGAATCAAAACCATGGTTAAGGCTCAGGCTTTGTTTGGTCTCACCGTCACATCCTTCCATTGCAACCTCATGGCCCTCCGTCCCTTCACATCCCAGCTTTTCACGCGTGAATTTCGGACGGAACACCACATGCGGGCGCCTTCACAATTTCAGGAGCGCCTGCAGGGCGTGCAGCAGGTCGTCGCCTCCTTCCGTGCCTTTGCGGCGCTCACTGGGGCGGGAGCCGTGGTCTGCTGGGGTGACGACCGCTTTGGAGGCATGCTGCCAAAGGAGGTGGAGGCGAAATTGGTGAAGGTGCAGCAGAGACTTGACCTGCAGTAGCTTTGCTATGATTCTACTATTGTATTTATATATATATATGTTTATATCAGATTTCGATTGAATACTATAGCAAGCCCAAGCCTATTGAATTCCATTGTTCTGACCCCCTGAGCAAAACCTAGGTCTCCCCGACATTTGTCACATTCCGACCTTCAGAGCCTCCACGCTGAGCCTGAGGCTCAGCGCTTCACATGCCGCCTTTTGCGCCGTTTTGGCCACGGGGGAAGTGGTCGCCTGGGGTCAACCCGAGTTCGGCGGCCAAGTCCCCGAGCACTTGCAGGCGTTTGCGGAAATTGTTGGAGAGTTGGTACCTGGCAAGGTCTAAGAGGTTTGTTTGGAGGTGTTGTGGATGTGTTTGGTGTTGCGTTATTTGATGGGGGAATGTATTGGCAAGATAATTCGCTAGGCAAACACATAATACTAACAAGGGTGTTTGCATGTAAGATCAAGTAAGATCAACATATTCCGACCTAGATTCCGACAGGACAACGAACCTGGCAAATCCAGAGCAGTGTTTTCCAGATGGTGAGATCCAAGTGCAAAGGAGTGGGTCGTTGGATTTTTTCCCTAAACGCTGAAGACCACCTGAAACCACTTCAGAACGAACACCGCGCTCGATATTTGTTGCTTTTCTTGGCCAGGAAGGGTCCATTTCAAAGCAACCAAGTCCAATTGGTGTGAAATGCTTTGCCCACTCCTTCACTGGGCGGAACCCAGCCTCGAATTCAGTGTCCCGCTTCACGGGTTTATCGCAGAACCGCCTCACGGACGTGAACTTCGTGGGATCCTCGAAGAGCCTCTTTTGCGCGGTGCAGCACAGCGGCCACGTGGTGGTCTGGGGCGATCCGTCTCGGCAGGGAGAGGTGGAAGAAGTGGAGGACCTCGGGCCCTGATGGGCCGGATGGGCGATGGGCGGGGAGGTTGAGAGTCAAACCGCTACTTCTGCGGGTTGCTGATTCGCCTTTGGATCTGTTCAATAAGCATACTGTAATTCACCTGTCGTGGGGTTACCCTTTGCAAACTTAATATGCAATATATATATATATACATGGATTGGAATTAACCATCTAACTGCATTACAAGTTCGATAGTCATCCAACGTCCCCATCATGAGGCAGGTGTACCCGCCGCCCACCATATGGAAAAGCCGATTCCCTCCATTGAACACATCTGAACACTACCTGGCGCTGAGCTCGCTTTCGGCAGATCATTGGCCAAAAGATATATATGGTATACGTTTTGGTTCTAAAGCCTTCCAAAGGACACTGTTTGGAGCTAGAAAGCGATAAGATTTGCAGCCTCGTTAGGATCCACTTATTTTCCTTTACCCTGACCGATCACGGCTCACGTGTCCAATCAAGTCTCAAAAAGGTGGATCACTGGGCTTTAAGATCTGAAAAAGTTACTATACTCTGGATGATTCTGGATGCGTTAAAGTCTATACTCAGACTCATACTCATCTATCCAGAACGATTCTTAGTTACGTTTCGTTAATTCCCGCGATGCACAAAACAAACGAAGCATGCCGCCGAAGGAGCGACGGATCGGCGGCATGGTCCCCTTCGCTTGCCCGGTCAATGGATTTTGATTGGGGACACCCCAGTTGCTCAACCAGAAACAGGTGGAGTTCGTGTCAATAGGCCTTTCTTTTCACATGTGTCCATCGTCGAAACGGCTCGGGAGTCACTTCTACAACAGGAGGAGCTCCATGACGTTTGCTCGGTTTGCGCCTCGAGCCACGCTTTTGCGGCCCTCCGCCGAGATGGCCGAGTCATCACCTGGGGCTGCTCGGGCCTGCGTGACGTGCGCGGGGGTTCTAATCGAGGCAATCAGCGGGTTCGTTCGAAGTCTGCTTCAGTTGCTATGGAAATGGTTCTATGAGACCAGTCAGATGAAAGAGGGAACAAACCAACACATGACACATACTTAATACAGCAACTTGTCTATTGTTTTTGTTGAACTGTCACATTTATATGTAATACTGTATAAGATATTGATATAGAATGATAGATAGATGGTAGATGGTAAATGATCGGAAATGATGGATAGATAAATAGAGAGAGGGAAAACTCTTAGATGGGCAAATCAATTCTGGTGTTTATGATTTTGGGATTTGTGCCTCCCTCGTAGTGAACAGTCCACGATGTTGTGTCCAGTAAAGAAAAGTGCGAGCACCACCAGGGTCGTTTTCAGTCGAAGATGGTGTCGTTTGCCCAACAATCTTGAAACATCTTGAAACAAGATTCTAGTTGGGTGGGGCAGTGGTGTTTTTTGACTATGGACTTTCGGAAGACGAAGAATCGATTTCAGAGTCCTGACCGCCCAAGCCTGAAGTGGGCGTGGGCGGCGACAGGAGGAGTCTTCTCCGGGCAGGTTGTGTTGTGAGAAGAGTGAAACATCTACTTCAACAGCCAACTCACCAACGACCCGACCCCCAAAAAAGTAATGCACTAAAACAAGCGAAATGAGCAGAGCAGAAAGGCCAAGATGCCCAACTGGTTGGGCATAAGAGCCAAGCAATCAACTAACTTAACCAACAAAACCAACCAAGCCCTGCTCATTTGCCTGCATGTTGCACTCCAAGAATCGCTCATGAGGTGATCCTGGATTTGGTGGCGATAGCAGCACCATGGCCGCCGTGGTTTGCGTTCCGCCAAAGCACGCCAGTGACCGTCCAGAGGAAGGTGGCAGACCTTTGGATCTTCTTGGACTCAGACTGGTATCATCATACTCCATCATATTCCATCATACTCCCCCGGCCCCCTTCCATTTATATAATCACTTGGCATGCACATAGATCTCGGCAGCAAACCAGTTTTCTCAAAAATCTGCTCAAACCACCGGGTTTATAGACTGAGATGTGGCGACCAAAACGCACAAGCTATGTGTCCATGGTGTTTCCCAAGTTGGGGCCCTGATCATGATCGATTTGCGACTGTGCGACCTGAGATGCGTATACGGACCACCAAGTGGGATCAGTGGGTCCTGTGGAGGATTGGAAATTGTGAAAACGTGATGAAAAGTGAAAGGCCATTTGGAGGCTCGAGGAGAGTAAAGATGGGTGCTTTGTTGAATATCCAGCCAGCACAAGACCTCCCCAAATCTTGTGGGTGTAAAGTGTAAAGACTAGAGTCGGCTAGAGGGCCTAGATGAAGCATGATTACGCAAGCATCTCATGTCACATCGCCTCCCAGGCAAGGTGGCTTTGCAGCTGCAGGACGTGGGTAAACGCCTCAAGCCGCGGATCAAGCGGAGCTTGTCAGAGACGCGCATGACGGAAAAAGCCCCCTAACGCGCCATGCGTCTCGTGGTGTTCATGCGCTGTCGGCTGTTCCCTAAACGGGGTCCAACGGTGTTGTGACTGGAAGAACTCTTGCCTGATTGTTCCGTTACACCATCAGTGAGGATGTGAGGTGTTCATCGGACATCGACATGTTTCAACTTCCCAGCTAACCTTCTACACAGACGACCCTGGAGTTGGAGTTGGCTGCAGGTCATCTCTATATACACTCCATTTGGGGATCCATTTTTTTAACAATCAAAGGATCAAGCCAATCAAACTGTCAAGACTCCATCTCACGGGCCAAAAAAACCAATTCCGTTGGGCCTCCGTTTGGGGCCTCCGTTTGAGTCCTTTTCGTTGAGCTGAGTCCTCGTTCGTCCAACCCGAGGCCCGGTCCTTTGCTGAGCTCCAGCTGTGCTTATTGCGCCCGTGAATGAAGGGGGACCGGGAACCGGTTTCACCGGTTTCACCGGTTTCGTTGAGGAGAGTATACTGTAATAATCTGTAATATACATTCATATACTATCCCTAAAAATCCAAAGTACTAGTACCCTCTCAGGTTCGGTACGACTGGACCCGACCCAGGCACCTACATAACAGTGTCGAACACATCACCGTACCTGAGAAGGTACTTGGATCCCTAGAGTGTAATATACTGTAGTTTGCCTTCATTTTGTTGTCAGTTTTTAGGTGCGGTAGTTTAGGGAAGATACTGCCCTGACTGAAAGCCTGACTAGAAAAACACTCAGATTAAGACTGCTGGTTTGACCATGTTTGATTCAGGGGAATCCACTAATGATAGAACTATATAACAATGCTCCTGGAGTAGAAAGAATACCAAACACTCACAATGAGGGCGATTCTCCTTGTTCTTTGGATGCTGAACAGGTTTATCATGCATTTGTTGTACTGCAGAATTGAATCGATTCTACTGCTACAGTATAAATATATATATATATATGTGTTGCTCCACTGACGTGGCAACAGGGCTGGAAGAGAATCCACCTGGTAGATGCTCTATGTTTGTTTTGGGGGAAGGTAAGAGCTCCAAACTGAGTTGCTTGAACTCAACTTATATACAATCCTATCGGATTGTCTCCAGTAGATGTCACCAATCCTGCTGGCAAACTGATCCGTGAGTGAACACGTTCTCTTTGTGTGTTGATCCGCCCAAAACGTCGCGTCGTGAGAAATCCATAGGAAAAAAACACCAGGCAATACCCCAAAAACAACACTCACCACATCCACGTACCGAGTTCGGCATCTGGCCACGCCGTTGAAGAACAGAGCACCCCCCACCCATCTCGACCACACCGGTCAGCCGGCGTCAGCGCAGTCGGTCACGCGAGGCCTGCGGAGCTGAAGCAGAGCCACCTCAAAGAGGTGGCACCGCGTCGTAAGCCACCGCGAGAGACACCGGGCATCGGTTCGGATGGAGCGACCGGGTCGGGGGAAGGGAAGTTTTTGCGCACTTGCCTGGGCACTTGCAGCTGATGGTGCGTCGGTAGCGACATGCAGAGCAAAGCAAAGACCCCCAAAAAAGGAATAGTAAAAAGGATTGGTTGCCAAAGATCGTTTGCTATTGATTGCCAAAGATCGTATGCTAGTTAGCAATATTTGCGTTTAAGACATCATGGGAGATTTACCTTGTTGATGGTTATGGGATGACATCTGACCCAGAGATGCATTGTGTATAGCCATTGTCGGTTGCCCTTTGCAGTTGGTGGAATACATTTCTTTGTGTCGCACATGCACTGGTTTGTACGGGATTGGTTGGCTGAATCTGAAGCCATGCGCTCATTGACGTGAGGTTTTCCGGTGGTAGAACAAGACTTGGGCGACGGAGATACTCAAACTTGAGCTGGTGCCACGCGGAAGGGGTCCTCGTTGGTGAGTAGATCCCTCAAAAGGGAGAAGTCACATAAATGTCTTAAGCATTCCAAACCTGCATGTATAATCCTGCAGTATTCCTACGACATGCTTTTCCAACCAAACCAACCACTAGAAAACGTCACGTCGGCTCAGGAAACCACTTCTCGTCACCCGTCGGTCGATGGCGAACTCCGCCAGGATGGCTCCATCGAGGACGCCACCATTGCACGTGCGGGACACGGTCGACACGGTCGACGAGTCGACTCGATCAACGCTCCGACGGACTGAAAAACCAGTGACTGGTGATCAAAAGTCAACCGGAATCACAGGTCGACCTGAACTGGATAACCTTGCTTTTCGTTGGGGACATAACCGTCTTTAAATAGTCTTTATATTATATTGGTTTTATATAGGATCTTCAGCTGGAGAACTCATTGTGGGATGGAACACCATATGTCTACCTGCTTGCTTTGGTTGGCGATTGTTTTTTGTGTTTCCCCAGGGTTCGTTTCGGGATTTGGGAGCCTTTTGACCTTCGCAGCGCAGTGGCCTTGGGAGTTCTGCAAGGCAGAGACCACCATGCCCAGCTACGGTCACCTCCCTTGCACAGTGTATTGGAAGATGGCCTTCGTCGAGCACAAATATGCATCAAAGACTGTTCTTGGTTGAGACTAAGCTGCATAGAAAGCACTACTTTCGTTTTGAACAGCCCAGGCTCAAGGCCATGGCCGCCATTCAACTCTTCAAAAACTCCACGTGAGTTGGCGCCAGAACCTGTTTGAACTCTCATGGCGCACGAGTTTGAAGATACCGCAAGATAAGTTTTCATGTCGCCAAGATACTGCGCTGTGTTCGGCGTTCAACCGTTCAGCTGTTCGAAAACACACCAAGACATGGTGCATGTATTTGTATACCCTCCCTCCAAGACATGGAAGTGGACAACCCCCTGTTTGTAGAGGAAGATCGTCAAGAGATCAATTGCAGCGCGAACAGGATAGTTGTTTTCGGCCACACGAACATCGTCTTATGAGGGGCCATGGAAAGCCCTCTCAGAACTGTTGGTTCAAATCCCCACTGTTTGACAATCTCTACTCCACTACTCCCCAGATTTGTTCAATGTCTTTTGGTCCAATCCCTACTCCACCGAATGGCCTTTGGAGGCTGGCTCTTCAGCTGGATGGCCGTCCGGTGGCCCCAGCAACGCCGGTCGACGGGCAGCCGAAATTTGGCATTGGCTGGCAGAGGGGAAAGCTTAACTTTTCTTCCTTGGAACCCAATTTTGGGTTCAGGTGTAGATTGCTGGGAAGCATGGGGAAGCATGTGACACGTTTTTTTCTTTAAACATATTTTGTCTTTTCATTTTTTAGCATGTAGCTATAGCTACACAAGCCTCAAAACAACTGTTCAACCAGGAAGTAAACAGAAGTAAACCGGGTTCACGGTGATTTTCAGTTGCAAAAACACATGAACCGTTGATTTACAAATCAGGACAGGTCTCGCACCCACAGTCCTCTCCAAGTCTGCAAGTCTGCGTTGCTCTAAACACACATAGCATGGGTATATATATAATAATCCTCTTGGATTGCCTCACCCCATGAAGCCCTAGGACCCGGGCCCTAGGGCCTTGCTTAAGCACATGAAGGTAGAAGTGGAGCGACTCCAGCGACTTTGGTTTGCCTTGGCGAAAATGGAAGGCAAGAACAGGCAACTCGGACATCTCGGATCTCAAGTTCGGACACTTATCTTGGACTCCGACATGTGCTTGGAAACTGATCTCCGACTATGGGCTCGAAACTCTAGGGTGGAATCCTGACCGTAACCATTCGATATCATTCGAAATCCAAGGAGATCGGTCTTCAACATCTCGCACCCAGCATGATTGGACCCAACTGGAGGCCTTTGACCCATAACAGGGGCTTTGGTCCGAGAAAACCTTTGCCTTTGAGGCTCCTTGATTCTTAGGGCAAATCATGGCAACTCTTTTTGTGCCACGGGCTTTTCACAGCACGAGGTTTGGCTGAAGCAGTTGGGCGGCACCCGTCCGGAACAGCTGCAGGCCATGCGACGTTTTTGTTTTTTGCGCCGAAGGGGCGGAGGGTTGGGAGTCGATCTCGCACCGTTTGAAGGAGTTCGTTCTCAGCTTGGCGAGATATGTGGTCTCCTCCTTCTTTGGAGTTGGCTCAAACAAACAGGGTCATTAGTCATTGGATATCATTGGTGTGAAAGTCCAACGGACCACATGACTGACCTGGATCTCTGTACCCCTTTTTCATGGTGTCGGCCTATATCCGACCACGTTGCAACGCGGGGGCCGCAGGGGAACCCCCGCGCGATCCGGTGAAACCGACGCCGACGCAGAATGACTCCCGAGGTGTTGCTGTCCTCCGCTCCTGAGCAGGCGGTCCTCGGAAGCAGGAGGTCGACCTCGAAAACAGGAAGTCTGACCTTCAAGAGGGAGGGTGTGGAGTTATTAGGGTCTTGGATGGTCTTGGAGCAACTTTTGATATTCCTTTTTCATCAGTTTCATGGTCAGTGCAGGAGGGCAGCAGTTTTGGGTTACAGAAATCACTCATTTGACTATTTGACCCGCAAAGCCTTGGAAGTGAAGGAGTTCAACAATCCCCATCATGATGTCAACTGCATCATTGTGTGATTGGTTCTTTCATGTTCTTTCAATCGTTGTTTGTTCAGACAGTTGGATGCTTTCACAGCCATGCAGGGCCAATCTAGGCTGGTGGGATCCCCACCTCGACATCTTTCAAGAAGTCATCCAGTTTGATGTGACCAAATTCTCAATTCATGCAACAAGATAATATCCCAGTAGCACAGAGTGCATCGGGAAGCATTAATCAAGCAAACATCGGACATCCTGGGGGCGTCCAGGTCACCATTTGTTCAGGTCGAGCCACAAGCGAGAACTTAGCGCCTTTCCCACTCCCAGCCAGCCGGGCTATGACGAGACTTGCAGGTGCAGGATGCTTTGAGGAGCAGTGGCCTGTGAGGAAAAAGGAAAGTCAACAATCAAGCCCTGCATGGAGCCGTGAAAAGAGCCTTGCAATGTATGCATGGTATGGGAGTAGTTAGTCACAGGAGATGGAACATCATGTACTTCTGACATGCTCGGTCAATTTCCAACCAAATCAGATCATGAGCGAAAAGCAGCCGGCCCCTTTGGCAATGATTCAGTGCTCTGACACAGGCTCAAAGATGCTTTTGGAGCATGTGCAAGCAGAGTTGCAATTAGCTTGTAGGATGGCAGCGGATTAGCTTGTGTTTTTGTTCTCTCTCCCCCCAATGGCGCAGCGCGACACTTATCATATACACTGGGCCGGTCAAAAACACATCCATTTGGGATGACCGAGCTTTCTCTGACCTCCCAAAGGTCGGTTTTAGCCCATCGGGCTGTTTCCCGCAGCGGTTTACACAGCTGTGACATCCCGCATGACACATGACACACCGGTGGTGCTCGCACTGCGCCCGAGCAGCGCCTTGAAGTTCATGACATTTCATGACCAAAGTGATTCGCTTTTTGAAGTCCATAACAAAGTCTACACCTCCTGGGAGCAAAAATCCTCACAAGGTAGGGACAGAATCCCTCCTTTTCAGCATCAGCCTTCGACTTCGGATGTGGTTGGGGCATTAGGGAACTGACATGCCTTCTCAGAAGGTACTTGGACCCTCCAAACCCACATCTTCAAAGTGTCTCCAATCACCGTACCTCAGAGAGGTGGATCCCTTGGGATTACATACGTGCAATAGTACCTGCAGTATATACATATCTATCCGTTCATCCGTTCACTAATGAACCATGAACAAATCCACTGAAACCCGAATCTCGAAAGAAGGCGCAAGATCAGGCTTAGTCCAGTCCATCGCATCGCTGCTGAGTTGTTCCGCCAAACACCCCGCGCGCCTGCCTCCTTGAGGCGCCGGAGCGGGGGCGGGTTCGATCGCACGCGGCGTCCGGCGACCGAGAACTGCATCGACGAAAGGAAGACGGCGTCGGTGTGGCGTTCTGCGAGCTGCTTTTAAATCGATGACACTCCGGGGGGTGAAGGTGGAAGCATATCAGGTGGATGCACATGTGGATGTAAATCTCTGACATCTTGTACATTCTATCGTCCTCGCGAAAGGACATGCTGACATGCTTGTGTCCTCTAGAGAGGGCATATCAGGTGAGCTCCTTTGGGCGATTGGAGGGCGGACAACCTCCATGTAACGCGTTATGCTAGCGGCATCTCTTCTTGGTTATCAGCATGTACGCATAGCAAGAAGGATGGTTTGTCTTCGTTCATTTGGACATATTTGGACATATATAAATGCATTCTTCCAGCAGTGTTTGTCGTCTTGTGACCATGTGTGAGACGTCTGTATTGTCATCCAAGCTGCTCAAGCTGATTCTCCAGTGCTTTCTTCTTTAAGCATTTAAGCGGCGACTCAGCAACGTCTGATGGCGGAGGTGGAACGCAAAGCCGAAGTTGAGATTGACCCCGAAGCGGCCATGGAATCTCCACGAGCCGAGGGTGAAGAGACGCCTGTGCCTCCTGCATGGAAGGAGGTTTATGGAGGTAGCAGGTTCGAATTCAAGTCCTTGTTTCCTCCATTCACTTGGCTGCCTGCGTATATCAGATTTGCTAAAGGCGGGGAGATGGGATTCTGCAGTTGTGTGGATGGTTTAGTGCGTTGTTGTGGAATGCCCAAACAAACGATATGGGGACTGTGCAGGAAATGCTACCACCGGAGACACGGATCGAATGGGAGAATTGCCGTACTCCATCAAAGGCGATCTCATTGCAGGCCGTGGCCGTTGGGCATGCGAACAGAGCAATTGATGATCCTCTTTGAGCTTGAATCCAGGTACAGTAAATATACTACTGTATTAATATACAAAATAAATTCAACATATTCAACAATACTATGAGATATGATGAGATCTGTATAATATATATATACAGAAAACCGTGTACTTGATGGGATTGAGAGTTTTAAGTTAATTCCAGGTATTCACTTTGGTTGTGCACTAAACACGCACACTGATACAACCTCTCCTTCTTATGTACAAACATGTTGGTACGAGTGAGCTTATCAAGGTTTGGCAAATACGCAACAAACCACAGGTACTCCAGAGTGTAATCAGAGAGAACCAGAAGAATATTCGTCATGTTTATTCCAGCATGTTTCCAACATGTGATATGATTGTATAGGATCTTTTTCGTACTGTTTCAGATGCTGAAAACCAGGTTTGTTGTTCAACAACGGTCGTCGTTGAATCCAGCTTGCTTTCGTAGGTCTCACCGTTGGACTGATGCTGGTGCCGCAATGCTTGGCCTTCGCCTTGTTGGCAGGGCTGCCTATTCGAGCTGGCTTGTATTCCTCATTTGCTCCCCTGGTGATCTATGCCTTGCTGGGTAGCTGGATTAGTTGTTGAAGGTCTGGTGTTGCTATTGAACAAACTGTTCGATATCGATATATAATCATTATCACTGACCAACCCAGTCTTAATGTAGGCTAAAGAGGCTTAACACGTCACTGTCACTCGTTGTGTTTTTCTGCTTTTACATCTCTGAATACTATGTGTATCTATGTGTATATTTATAGACAGTCAGTGTTGTTGTTTCTTTTCAATTAAATTGTTATACTCAACTGCTTTGGGTAACAGCATTAAAATTCATCACAAATTAGCAATACCCATCAAACATCCATCTCATTCTATACACGCAGACTTGTTCGGTGTTTGTTTTTGCGGGGACTGGTAGCCGGACCGGGTGACTGGGTGACCAGCACTCAGGTACACTGCGACAGCTTCAGGTTGGACCGACGGCCTTGATCAGTCTCCTGACTGGTCAAGCCTTGGATGCAGTGAAATTGTTGGGAGAGAACGAGCGCTTCTTGGAGGGTTTTGGTTGTTTTTTTTTGATGTTGCTGGTTTCTGTTTTTTTCCCTATTGTCTATTTCAAGATCGCAAAGTACTTGATGAATCGGTTTGTTTGCTTGTTTTTGTTCATATGTTTTTCCATGCCTAAGTAGAAGCTGGCTATGTGTTTTTGTTCATGAATCTTGTTAAGTGTGGCTTTATGTTTTACAAAACCAGGTTTGACTGGGGCAAGCACTTTAGCTCTCTTAGTGGGCCTGGTGAGTCTTCTCTTGGGCATCCTGCGTTTTGGCTTTGTGGTGGATTTCATGTCCCATAGCGTCATGAGCTCCTTCTGCACGGCCTCAGGCGGTGTGGTGCAAAAAACACACCCGGCACCGCTGGGAATTGACCGATCCAGTCTATAAAGAAAAACCGAATGCGATGAATTTATAGATATTGATTATTCATATGGATTATTCATTCTTATGGCTATACATGGATATCATTTCTATGTTTATCCGGAGACTGCAGACATCAATCTATTCGGAAGCGTTCGAAGAGGTGAACCAGCCCGCTCATTAGTTCATGTGTCAAGTCGTTTACCTCCTTGCCATGTTTTTTTTGTTGAATCAATATTCTAGTGATGCAATTGAACAACCCTACTGGTTAGCTTAAGAACGAAGTCTAGAAAAGCAGGCGTGATCATTGCGACCTCCCAACTGAAGCACGTCCTTGGCATCAATATCAAGCGGCACAAGTACTGGTGGGAGACGGCCTATGACCTTTGCTCCAAGCTTCCGGAAGCGGATGCCGCTACCGCCGTGCTTGGCTTCACACTGTTGGCCATGCTGACCTTCTTTAAGAAGTGGAAGCAGGCGGGGAATCAAGCCAAGCGCTCAAAAAGCCTCATTTGGAGGTTCTTTCCCAAGAACAAGGACTCCTGTGCCTTCAAGTCCATGAAGATTTGTGCGGACTTGTCCTCGGTGCTTTGTGTGATCCTTGGCTGGGTTTGGGGCTTCATCTACAGGGAAGCTGGAATTAACTCTGTGAGGCTCATCAATGACAGCGAAAGCGATGGCTTTGTTTTCCTGCTGCCCAGTTTTGACGACAAGACACCCGATCTCATCGTGCCTGCGGTGATGATTGCAGTGGTGGGTTTCTTGGAAACCGTGGCAGTCGGTGGCAAGATGGCGAATGAAAAGCGATATAGCTATGATGCCAATCAAGAGCTTTTGGCTTTAGGTGCTGCGAATGTTGGTGGAGCCTTCATGGGAGCTTTTCCCATCACTGGTGGCTTTTCCAGGACGGCAGTGAATGCCATGTTCGGGGCCAGCTCCCCACTGGCAGGTGCCTTGACATCAATCATCGTGGTGATTGCAGTGTACTCCTTGATGCCAGTGGTGGAGATGCTGCCCTTGGCAGCCTTAGCTCCCTTGATCATCCACGGAGCAATTGGTGTCACGGACTTCAAAGCCTTCATTCCTACCTTCAAAGGAAACAAGTTGGACTTCCTCATCATGGTCTTCACCTTTTTAGTGTCTCTGGGCTTGACGGTGAAGGAGGGCCTGATCACCGGCGTCTCATTGTCCATTTTGAAGCTCACCTATGAAGTTGCGATGCCGAACTTGGCCGTTTGCGTGCAGGTGAAAGATGGAACTTTCAGAGATGTGAGGTACTATCCAGAGGGTCGCATGTTCCCCAAGTGCGTCGTGGTTCGAATGGATGCTGGATTGAGCTTTGCAAACACCCGACGTTTGCAGGAGTTTTGCATGCGCGCCATGACCGCTGCAAGCAAATCTGACTCTTCGGTGTCTCATTTGATCTTGGATTGTAAATCCGTGAACGGCACCGACATGACGGGGTGCGAGGCCATCGAAAGCTTGGCCATTTCCTTGGAGAAGCGCAAGAAGTCCTTGGTCTTGGCTAACCTGAAGGCACCCCTCACACAGGCCGCAAACTCTTGGGCCGCCATACTCAAGAGACCGACTTGCACACGATACGCCCACAGCGTATTGGTGGGGACTTCATGAATCTAGAATCTAGAATGTCATGATGTGTCATGATCGTTATGTTATAGGTGGCTTTCATTCATGTAGTGCAAGCACCCAAAGTAAGCTGGGCTTACACAGAAGTGAGCACCTGCATAGTCGAATGATGGGCGCAAGTATGAGGTTGACAAGAGGCATCATGGGTCATGAGGTGAGGCATTCTAAGCTTTCTTCCCTGTGGATCAGGCCATGTTTGCAGCCGGAGTCGACCAGCACATTGAGGCCGATCCCATCAGAGATGACATCACCACCCAGTTCTGGTGGGTCCCAGACCCCCCTTCTTTCATGTGGTCAAAAGCATGTGCCCTCAGAATCCGGACCCTCAAACACAGATAGGGTGTGGTTCGGGCCTGGACCCCTGCGTTTCGGTGGAGAAGCTCCGACCCCTGCCATGGAGAGCCCAAGGATTCTAAGGGTGGTAAAACACCATTTGGACCGAACACGAACGGCAGAAGCCTTGCCGGAGTCCAAGGCCACTCAGAGGGCCACGATCGGGTCTCGATCGTCCGCAAATGGCTCCCCAGCACACCATGTGCCGCACAGGGTCCAAACCCAAAGGAATCCTGTGCGAATGTGCGGCAGAATGAGCAGAATGTCCACTACTGGTTTTTTCTGCTATATAGAGATAGTCAACCTCCCTACGGGTGAACATGACTGATACCCGCATCCCACCGGCCATGTATGGTGTTTTTTTGTTTGAAGGAGTTCGTCGAGTCGCGAGGCGCATGGTGGGCATCTTTGTTGGAACATCGCCCAAGCCATCACCTTGGTGAATGGAGGTGATCCAGCAGCAGCCAAAGCGACGCTCAGAAATGTTAGACGGAGTGGGTTGGGTTTTTGGCGGTCACAGACCCCAGACCAGAAAGTCACAAAATGTGATGTACATGGAGTGGGATAGACTCAGAACAAGATTCATTCTAGTTCATCCCCGTGTCGGCCCAGATGTGTTCTGTTTGGCATCGGGCTGATTCAGATTGAATCTGCTTCCTGTTCCGCCGCTTAAAGGTTTCTCAGTGTGGAAATGTTTGAGACAAAAGCAGCAGGCTGAGCCTGGTTGTGCTGAGCCTGGCGGATGTTTTTGTTTCACAGAACGGTTGAATCCCCTTCTGGGAAAGATGTTATAGATGCTTACACTTTGGTCACCTTGTTTTTGGCCGTCCTGGTGCCAATCATGAGAAAACGACACGAAACCTTGATGACTCCTGCCAATCCACCTAGAAATACTGTACATGCAACGCTGTTGTCTCCGACAGGTACCATCAATCCATGCATCGGCTGCACCTCTACCTCTACGGTGTTGTTGTTAGACCTCTAAGGTCTGTGACTGATCTTCACAGCAGGGTGCAGTCCAACGCGGTGGCTATCAAGCAATGTATTCCTGTTTGAAGCGTAGATGAGATGCATGAGCTGAGCTTCTTCTTCTTCTACTGGGCTATCCAACCGATACCCAGGAGTCAAGTGCCTGTTGGATGATCTTGAATCTGCACATTCATTAAATAAGGTACACATGAAACTGCCTTCATGCAAGCAGATCATCCAAGCCGAAAGCAGGTATAGCCGTGTAGCCATCCTTGTGTTTTGGCGGTAGGTTGCCCAGAAAGCTAAAAGCTGTGGCTAAAACTTACTCAGGTTAAGGTTGGTACACTTAACATGCGGGGATGGGTCAAAACCTGGAGCCCTGCTCCACCATGTAGCCAACAACCTTCCATGTAATATCTTGGTTTTGACCCACAGCCATGTCATGATGTGGCCAACATCAGTTTCGTCTCGTGCGACTTGCGAAACCGCCATTCGCACTCGTTTGCGATACATGGTGACACATTCGCACAAGCTGCGATATGCTGTCCAGGACTTTTGCAATCGCAAAAAAGAAACAATGTCCAAACATGCAGTTGCCTCTTCCTCATTATATATATATATAGGGTCCCTCATTAGATACAACTTCCATTCACGAAAATCTGAAAAAAAAAAAACAGATGTCTAAGATAGTCTAAGCACCTGAAAAAAAGCAGATGTCTAGGATAGTCTAAGCACCTTTTGAGAAAATCCTTGGAGCCCTATGGGCCAAACAGGTTTGCCGTGCAAACGGAGGCCGCGTTGGTGGTGATCGCGCTCTCCCGAAGACCACTTACCTATTGAGAGTATGCCCAGGTCATTTATGCTTGTCCGTGATCTGGAAGCTCGCAGGTAGACACAGCGCGCGAGCTTTTGCCCAGTCATGAGCGAGGTGGGCCCAGTCTCAGCGTGTGGAGGATGGGGAGATTGGGAAGTCAAGCACTCATTGTGGGGTCCCCAGCATTGGAAGCTTACAGTGAAGCTTAATAAGAGGAAACGCGAAAGAGGATGCTTCAGTCCCTGGCTGGATGTGTCCAACCGTGCAATATCAAACAGCACACGTTTGTCGTCCCTATGGAGGGGAGGACGCACACACATCTTACCCCTTGGTGTCCTTCCAAAAGCCGCAGCCAAACAGTTGGATGCTTGAATGTGGACCACTATGTGGACCATGTACTGCATATAGACATGTCATGACATGTCTAGAGTCTAGACTCACTACCCTTTCTCCCATGTGGTCCTATATCTTCACTCGACCCCCTCGATGTGTCGACCCCCAACGCCGCCGGTCCGCGGCGTCTCGGCTCACCCGGTCGACCAGCGCTTCCTGGCCGGCGACGCTTTCCGGTCGCAGTCTGTGGACGGATGGGGAACGAACGGGCAAAGCTTTGGATGGATGACTCCCTTCAAATCATGCATTTGAGTGAAAACATGTGGAAACCACACTGCTTGGAGAGCATGGTCCTCCTTTTCGGGGTTATGCCATCCACCTCCATGATCATTTGAGGGAGTGTACTTCCCCTGCAATTATCATCACAGTGGAAAATGGACCCTTGGATGACCACATGGAGTGTATTCCCAGTGTAGACTCCGGCGCCTTCGGCCCAAGCCACAGAAAGAAGTCAATGCTCCACAAGGCTATCCAGTGAGCTTCGGTGAACGATGCTTCAGGGTTTTTCATCACAAAGACTTGAAGGCTGGGAACCCTGGCTGGGGGAAACCAAGAATAAAGACACGGGCCATCCGTGCGAGGTGGGCCCAGTGTTACTGTTGTAGGGCGCGTGAGATGAGCAGATGCAGCCCAAACGCCTCGGTGCAAGGCCCAAAATCAACCGGGAAACAGGGAGCTTTCACAGCCTCAGAAGTGAACGGCTATGAACAACTGAATGATGTGGAATCATGTTTTGGCATTTTGTTCAACCTGAAGTGGCGCTTTGCCAAAAGTTACCCAGCTTGAAAGGAACAAAGATGAACAAAGAGTCCCTGATGCATCCCACAGCCATGATCTTGATATGTCTTGATACAAAAGCCCTGGGAACATGAGTGGAACTAGCCCAGGACCAGGTGGTGCCCATCTGCTTACTGAACCGAAGGCTCGAGGGTTGAGAGAGGGAGCTCGGAGAGGGAGCCCATCCTACCCAGGGTTCCGCGCCCCTAAGTACTTGGGACCGGCAGAGGGCCCCCTCTCGCTGGGCGTCGCTGGGCTACTCAACCCAAGAGAAGGGACACCGACTTGGATGGCAAATAGCCAGCATCAGTTTAACTCAGTTTGCAATAGAACATTGCACGGACGTGCAAGGAGTGTGACTTTTGTCATCGAACATCTAAGGACCACGACTGCCTACGAGTCGCACTTTTCACCAAAAAAGAAATAGGGCTGCAGAAAGTAGCAGCTGTGAGTTTTTGTTGTAGACAAGAATCCGTTGGACTCCCTAGTTTCTTTGCACCAAAAAGCCTTGACTTGAAAAAGAGGTGTGATCTTTGATTGAGGGGTGCTCACCCTTTTGCCCAGGTCAAACAAGTGTGGTCGGGATGTCATCCACATCCTGCTGCCTTTGGTTTTGAGTCCCATCTATGTAATCAGTTACATGAGATGGCTACTATAGGGTCACCTTGCTTCAAACCCACTTGGTACGTGGCCTTGCCAACTACTTTGGCAAAGTCATCCTCAAGTGAACAAACGAACGGGGCACTCCCAAGCAGCTTCTCATTCGTTGTGTTTGGAACATACCAACACTCGGGCGACTCTTCACATGGCATCACATGACTGTTCATTGCAGATGTTTGACAGGCCATGCTCACCGCCAAGCTTTTGCTTGTGGTGCTGGTGAGGGCAGAGCTTCCAGAGGACACGACCGGGATCGCGATGCCGCCGGCATGGAACATATCTCACTTGGTGTCACTCAGAGCACTGTTTTTGCTTTATTTGTTGGAGCTTTACATCTTGCAGCCCGCAGCCCAAACACAATATGGGTGTGCATAGAATGAGCACCCAGTGCTTATTTGCTCTCGCGCCCTGAAAAAGTGAACAGTGAACAGAGCAGACAACACGTTCTGTTTGGGCCCTTGATCATCCTTGATCAGCCTCCGGATTTTGGACATTCCGAACACGAATTTGACTTCCAGAGGTAGGTCTGTTTGGCACAGCCACCTCCGCTGTGGTCGTGGTCGTGGTCTGCGGAATGCTCGGAATGCCGTGAAATAGACTGAGTCGTGGTCTCCGGACATCGGCCGACTCAGTTTGCAGGAGTCATGCTTCCTGCAAGTCAGCCAGTCTGTCAAGGCACGCCATGTTACCACAAAAAGGAAGGGCCGGAGACAAAACCTGAGGATGACAGGATGCGGGGCCCCGGGCCGCCCTCTAGAGCGAGTTCCTTTTGTTCCGAAAAAGTCACACAATGTCACAGAATCTGCCTGCTTGGATTTTTGGATTTGGCAATCCTCGGAGTCCTGTTTTCCTTTCTGAAGGGGCCCAAATGGCACCATCCACGATCTCCATGAATCCCCGAGATTTCAGCGCTTCCCTGGAGGGTTGGAAGCCCCATCACAAGCACCTCTTGAGGCGATCCGGGTGCCTTCATGCCGTATCAACCAGGCTGTATGGTGCGACCTGGGACTGATCAACCGTGATCAACCCATTTCTAGATGTTTCTACAACCGTATCAACTGGGGATCATCAAGATCGATGGAATTGTGGGTACATGAGATGTGAGTCTGGGTCGATCTTCCTTTTCTTTGCCCGACTCTGTCAATGGAGCTTTGAAGCCCAGCACTTGCTGGCAAGAGCCCTGGTCAAGTCGCGGAGAGGGGCTCCTTCTTCTGCGGTTCCATCAGCTGGAAGGTGATGGGCCCGCAAAAGAAGTGCATCTGAAAGTTAGAAGTGGAAGTCATAGAAAAAGCTCCGAGACTTTTGACTTCAAGTCACAAGCTCAATCCAATGAAGTACATCAGAATACATTGACGCCAGGTCAACCACCCCAATGTATGGATTCATATGCCAGTCCCATGGAGTGTTTGGGAGTGGCTTCCTGTTGGGAAAAGATGGTTCTGCCATCGAATGCACGGGCTTTGTGGCGGATCGGCGGTGCGATCGGCGACATGACCTCGGCTCAAGGATCAGCGGTCAAGGATGCGGGCAGATGGCACCTAGCAGATTGGTATAGGTAGGGACTGACCCCTTGATTGCTACCGAAAAGAGAGTTGGTGCCTCAAGACATTTATGATAGAATTGTTGGATCCCCAACTGCCACCTAGTCATTGAATGTTCATGCGAAGCATTCTGAAATCGATACTTCGATCATCTTCGAACTAACGACTCAGACAAACGTAGTAAATTCATATAATATATATATATATAGTAATATATTACAGATCTGTGGGGCTGTGTAGTCCTTGGATGCCGGGTCGACAGGAAGTGGTCCAGCTGTGGATCCATCCCACCCCATTCGACGACCGAGCAGGAGTTAGCTTTATTTGGATCGCTTGCTTGACCCCACATTCTGAAGTTCAACACTAGTCAGCAACCGAACCAGACCTGCAGAAGCACCACTCATCAATCAGCCACAAGCATTTGCTACCATTTCAACCTGCCAATCCACGGATTGATGGCCGACTACGAAAATGCCAAGGCTCCGGACTGTGATAGAAGATGGTTGAAGTCTGGCAACCTGATTTTATATATGATTGAGAACCGTCTCCATTCCCTGTATTGGGGCTTGCTACCCCACTGGTGCATGCGAGGGTTCCATCCCAGGCCTCAAGGTGTCAGGTACGCAAGGGGCTCTGCAACAAGGCACTGCAGATCTTCCCCAAAACTCTGGGCCCTGCACATAGGGGACCATTAATTACATATGAGGAATCATTAAATTAAAGGAATCCGCAGTGAATTGTGTGTGTATTAAAATAAGGAGACCTCCAAGTTCGATCTTTTGGAAGAAGGGAAATACGCCAAAACCATCCCAAACCCCCATTGCTTGGGGGTCTCCCTATTAAATTAACCTCATTGGAGGCTGGTCTGTCATCGGGTCGCCATCCAACCAGCCACAACGGGTCGCCATGAATCCCAGCGCTCCAATCTGGAAAGGGGTCTATCCTTGGTGCACCAGTGGGGTGTCGGGTCCAAGGACGTATAGACTATACATCCTTGGACCCG